GTACAAGCAGCGGGGTATGGGGGCTCCTGGGGAGATTCCACTTTTTGGACCAAGAGATAGTACAAGCAGTGTTAGGTGAATCTGGTGACGTAGGAGGGAGGGAGGAGCTGTGATTCTTTAATTTTAATCAATAAAACAATGATATCAATTTAACACAAACAAAACACGGAGAAATTGATGAAAACTAGCCAAAGAATTCAAGGTTCAATTTTATACAATAGCATTACTGCAACCTGAAAAGACGCACAATAAACACCTAAATCGACATTTGCATACAGATTAAGGTATGTTCTGACCCAATATCCAAAGACAGGGATTGATTCCGTCATAAAGGCGCAGTCTTTGAATGATGAAGCTCGGGTTCAAGAAGATTACCTCAAGATCCAAAGGGTTGATCGCTTGATGGGGATAAGAAATTGAGAATAATGTACTGAAATTGCACAAGGCAGTGTATATTTGAAATGAGTGTGAACTACGAGTCATCACCGTACGTCGACACGAGTTAGTTGCCGCTGACTTGTGACATGGAAGTGTCGAGGGGGAACCTCATGCTTTCTCTCTCTATTCTTCCCAATTTTTCACAAGTTAGGTTGACTCAAGCTTGGTTTATACTGATAAGCTAATGGAGTACTTATCAGTTCTTGAATGCAGTTGCAACATCTTACATTATTCATATCTTTCTTTCACCTTGATTTTCGATTAGGGATATTTTGACTTTGCACCCCGCTTTTTGAATGATATCGGACTTTACACTCTATTTTTTAAACTCTTAGACTTTGCACCCTATATTTCCTAAAATGTATTTGCATTTGCACCTCATTCAAGAATTTTTCTTCACAAAATGTTGTAGATAGGGTGCAAAGTCTAAAAGTTTTGAAAATGAGGTGCAAAGTCCAATATCAACCAAAAAGTGTAGTGCAAACTCAAAATTCCCCTTTCAATTATTATTATAGGGAAATTCTTGGTGTACACCTTGGGTTACACCCATTTATTTGTCATTCGCACAGACAAAAATCGTACAAATACAGACACTTTCGGTAAAACTGTCGGTGTTAATAAAATAAGTTTTCAGATCTGTCAGGCAGGTTGCACGAAAACCAATGTCATTGTACACAGACATTAGTTGTCTGTGTAGACAAAAAAGTGGCGGTGTGAAAAAAATGATTTGCAAGTGTCGGTGTACACAGACACTAGTTGTCGGTGTACACATGCAATTTTCGTCTATGTACAGAGACACTTAGAGCTAACCAGTGTTGGTGTGCATAAACGTAAAAAGAAAGAATTAGAGAAGAAGAAGATGATGATGAACAACAATGATTCAAAGGAATCCTTTCTAAACTTAGCTAATAAACGTAAAAAGAAAAGAAAAAGAGAGAATGGAGAAGGAGGAGGAGGAGGCGGAGGAGGAGGAGGAGGAGGAGGAGGAGGAGGAGGAGGAGGAGGAGGAGGAGGAGGAGGAGGAGGAGGAGGAGGAGGAGGAGAAGAAGAAGAAGAAGAAGAAGAAGAAGAAGAAGAAGAAGAAGAAGAAGAAGAAGAAGAAGAAGAAGAAGAAGAAGAAGAAGAAGAAGAAGAAGAAGAAGAAGAAGAAGAAGAAGAAGAAGAAGAAGAAGAAGAAGAAGAAGAAGAAGAAGAAGAAGAAGAAGAAGAAGAAGAAGTGGGGAGGCAGGGGAGAGACAAAAGTGGGAGGAGAGGAAATAAAAAATGGGGGGTTATATAGGGTGTACCCCCTGGGTGTAACCCAGGCAGAAGACTAAAGAATTTTTCATTATTATATACGATCAAATTATTATGTACTCCGTATAAATTATCACTATATTGTTCTGTAATGTAAGATGCATTTAGGTTTGATGTGAGTTTTAATAAAATAAAGAATAAAATAGTTGTTTAACAATTTTAACTCCAAAAAGTAAAAAAGAGTAAGATGTATGCACAAAAAGTAATGAATGTAATTATAGACAAAGAGATAATATAGAAAAGTAAAAGGTTAGTGGGGTCCAACTTAAGAAAGTGGTCATATTTTTTTAATAATTCAAAAAGGAAACTGTATCTTACAAAATGGGATGGAGAGTATTTAGTTTCTCTTAATGTGAGCTTTCACAAAAAGTCTAATTATTAATCTCGCGTGGTATCAAGAGCATGTGTTCTTTACCCTAAAAGTTCTCAAAAAAATTGCACCTGTCATCCTCTTCTGTTGTTGCGACATACTCTCATGCTACGTCGGAAATTCTAAGCAGCGTGCCACCTTTGGCCGCCGCCACATCATCGTTTTACTACACGGTCATTGGTCGTCTCCGACTCCTCATTGATGTAGTCTGCTCCGATTATCGTTCCTCCTACTTTGTTTACTAATTGAGGATTTACAGGCTTCCCTTCGGTTGGAATGTCTGGTTCTGTTCTTCTTCCTCTCACACCGTGTGTCGATTTATTTCTCTCCGGATCATTCTGCTATTACATGTCCCTCCTGTTTTATTCCAACATCTACAATTGCCTTGACTGCTTCAAATTGGGAGTTTTATTCCAACATCTACTATTTATTTTGTTCCTCAACAAGTAACAATAGCTAATGGTACTAACATAGTTGTGGTTCAAATTGGGAGTGTGAAATTATCTTCTTTGGCTTGCCCTCTTTAGTTAAAAATGGTTTTTCTTATGCTTAATCTGAAAAATAATTTAATTCATATTTAGAAGTTTATGTGCTGATAATAATTGTGTGGTAATTTTTTAAAAGAATCTTATGTTTTGGACCAACACACGGGGAGGTCCTCCTTCAGGCTCCCATTAGCTATTCAATTAAATTCACCCCCCTCACTAACTCTAGTTAGTAAAGTTGCTCTTGGACCTATCTGGCATCGAAGATTGGGATATTGCTTTGATCGTATTTATCTATGCTTAAGACTACTAGATCTGTTTTTAGTGATTCTTTTTTTCATGATTGTGTATCTTGTTGTTTAGGCAAATGTCAACAATTACCATTTCAGGATGCTATTCACAAGTCAATTAAATCTTTATAATTTCAGGATGTTATTCACAAGTCAAATAAATCTTTACATTTAATTCATTCTGATGTTTGGTAGTTCCCTATTCTTTTTATGTTTGTTTGGTGGATGATCTTTCTATGTTTAGTGGATCTATCTTATGAGTCTTAAAAGTGAAGTTTTAACTCATTTTACTCACTTTAAATTAATGGTCGAACTATTTTGAGCACTAAAATTAAAAAAAATCATAGTTCCATTTGATATTATTCTGAGACTTATGCATGATCCTCATTCATCATTCAGTCATTCGACAAAGATTTGCAAATAAAAGGTAAAAGGTGAAAAACTGAAAAATGGTGGTGAACTGGTGATAGCATATCAGAACTCTTAGCAAAGAGGGAGTTAACGATCAAGTTGTCACCGTAGTATCTCAACTATGGCGTCGCTCATTTGATTCGTGAACCGTACGCATCCTTTGATCGTTTCTTCTATCTTCATCGATGGGGAGGAGCTTCGGTCTCAACTCTTGGGTCTTCGTTCATACCACAACTTTATTGTCTTCTTATCTTACGCGCATATTCTTCGTCTCATCATGGGTAGGGTTGGATTCGGTTCGGGCCACCCGGCCCGTGACCCGGCCCGGCCCGGTACTGTGCGGGCCCGGGACCGGCCCGGTCAGGCGGTCCGGGACCGGGTATGGACCCGAACCGGTGGGAAGGGGCGGGGCAGGCTCGGTGCTGGATTATTGTGACCCGGCCCGGCCGGGTCGGGCCCGGGTCCGGGTCTAATTAAAAAAAAAATTGGTTTGGGCTACTAGCCGTTGGGGTGGGGCTGGGGACAACCCAAACGGCTATATAGCCGTTGGGTGGGGTAAAGGGGGGGTCCGGGGGGGTTGGCTGGTGGTGGGTGGTGGGGGGGTGGGGGGTAAAAAAACCTATAAATACTCCTAATCTTAAACATTTTTTCATATCTCTTCTCCAATTCTTCCTAAATCCTATTCTTAACTCTCTACTCTCTAATTCTCTTATTCTCCAATATATTATATTTGTTATTTATATATACTTAAGAAGTTAAGATGGAAAATCAAGATGCCATTATACGGTATAATTTTGATAAGCAGAAGGACCCGAAGACCGGGATGTGGTACGCAATTTGCAAATGGTGCGAGAAAAAATGTAGCATGGGGGTTTCTGGCGGATTCGGAATGGCAATCAAGCATATGAAGTCATGTGACAAAGCCAAAGGATCGGGAGGTGTGGGAAGTTCCGATTGATTACAATTTTCAAAATGTTTATCTGTTAAAGTTTGTTTTAATTTTTAAATGTAGTTCCTATTTCATTTCAAATAAATGCAATTGAAGTTTGTTTTTAATACTTGTATAAAACTATAAACTATAAAATATAAATTATAAAAAAAAAAATTAACCGGCCCGAACCGGACCCGACCCGTGACCCGGGCGGGTGGCCCGGCCCGGACCGGACCCGTCCAACCCTCAGGCCGGTCTCGGGCCCATATCATACTACCCGGCGGCCCGACCGGGCCCGACCCGGCCCGACCCAGCCCGAGTCCACTCATAATCATGGGATTCATGGCAAGCGAAGCTTTGACCTTGCCCAAATGCACATGCATAGGATTTTTGATATGGGTAGAACAAGGAAATGGGCTTCGTCAAATATATTTTCAAGCTAGTTAGTATGGAGCAGTTTGTAAAGTTGTATAACTCAATATAACGTTGTTCATTTCTTGTCTGAATGACGCAATATTAAAGATTATTGAACTTTTTGGGTGCTCACCCTTAAACCACTAGAGAGTAGACACGCCCAAACCGAAGTCTCGATCAATAATCCGACATCATTTGTTAGAAAGTTATCTAATAAGCTTTTTGTTTTTTTTTTTTTACAAAAAACTTAAATTTTCCTACAAAATAATTTTTTATGGTTAATAGTGTAACTTTTTATTGTAGTGAAGATTTTTCTACGACTTGATTCTACTACTCGAGCAAAATGAAGAAATAAAGGTCAGTTGATAAGAGCTGGCGGCTCATACAATTGTTGATTTGGGAAGAAGTATAATAATACACGGAGACACGGAGTACTACGTACGTAGTAATATAAACAAAAAAGGTCAAATACTGAGGAAATAAAATTTCCACAAAAAGTCTCATACATGACAGACAATAATGTCAAGTGACTCGTGGTCAAACGTCTACAACAGCTAAATGTGTGCTTTTCATGGGTTTGTCTTGCAAGGGTGGTCCGGGTCCAATTGACGGTAAACATAGTTTTTTATTTTATTTTTTTATTTTTATTTTTATTTTTATTTTTTTGGGGGGGGGCATATGTACAGGTATTGTTGGATTTGTTGCACCATATATGCCTATATGGCACCTCAGTCCTCTTCAGCTAAAATGGGAAGATGATCTGGTGCCAAAGTAAGAAAAGAAAGCAACATGTTGGTGTGCGTGGTGGAAAGAAAAGCCTCATTTCTTTTGCCAGAAACACACAACATCCATCTTTGTCGTCTCTTCTATTAAAATCAGCAATCGTTGATTAATCATGCAGCATGCATACACATGTTCATCATCGTCATCGTCATCAGCTCATCATCATCGTTATCACCATGGTCTAATCTTACAAGTCCCATAAGCATCACCTGTAATTACATATAAAATAAATCTTCTTCCTCTGCTACCCCCATCATCTATTGCATAGGCTCTTCCGTAACAACACTATATCTTCGTGCTAATGATCACTAAACATATCTACTTCATCATATTCTATCTACTTCATCACCCAAGTCCTCACTACCATCGATTGCATAGTTGCCAAAATCATAAGCAACATCATTTAAGAGATGTTCTTTGTCCTCATCTACCGCGCCAACCACTTCATCACTAACCATACCAGCACCACCATCATCATCGTTTTGATCCTCTGCAACACTCACGCTATAATCTTCATTAGAACCTTCTTCCACCTCATCATCATCCTCACTACCTCCGATGTCATCGTTGTTGGAATCATCAGCAGTATCATCAAAAAAATCTTCTTCTTCATCCTCCTCTTCCCCGCCATCCATTTCATCACTAACCATATCATCATCATTTGAATCCTCTTCAACACTAATGTTATCATCTTCATCCACTTGATCAGCAATGAACCCTTCCACCATTTCATAACCATCTTCGCTCCCATCACCACTCTCATCATCATAGAAGTATTCATCATCACTCTCATCATTATCATCAGAACTCCCAGAGCCATAGAACTTTACATTTTTTACACAACAAAAGTCATGAATGAACATTTTTTATACCATCCAACATAATATGTGGTTAAGATTCAGAATCTATGGTACCTAAAATTTGGCATGCAAGAGATGGCCTCAAACTGATCATAAACTGAATTAAGAGGATGGTAAAGATTGGACAAAAGGAGATATAGCTTGTGACAAGTTAATCATATAACCAAGAAAATGAAAATGTTTTAGTTTTCTGTCAGATAGTAAAAGCAGACATAATGAAGATTATTAAAGTTGGCCTTCAAGAAGGCTTTTGTATACATAAAACAAAAAATAATTGAAATCACGTTTAAGGGGTTCAATAGGTTCTATAGAACATGGGCCCAAAATTTTAAGAGATCAAAATTTTGGGGTCTCCAAAATATGAAGTTCATGCCTCTAAGATATTCTTTAACCATCTGTCATTCGAATGAAAAGCTTCACATTGGTATCACAACTTTTTTTTAAAATAAGGCTTCTAAGACTTCCACGAGACGACATTGATATAAAGCAGAATCTGGGCTTGGAGTAAGAGGGGCAGAGGCCCCCGTGGGTTTACGGAAGGCGGGGACAGGCTTGAGCCCACCTAGACTGGTTGCGGGCCATTTAATTAATTTTTATTTCTTTATAATTTTCCTGATTTGTTTCCTATTTGGAGTTAATTAGGATTTATATTATTTGTTTCCTGTTTGGATAAATTAGGATTGCAATTATTAGTTTCCTATTTGAAGTTAATTAGGATCTCTATTATTTCTTATTTCATTTCCTATTTGGAGTTGATTAGGATTTCTATAATTTTGTTTCCTAGTTTGAGAATTAGCAAATGGGTATTTAAACCCCATTTGCTATCTATTAATAAAATTGCATTTCAGCCTTTTGGTTCTGGACAACGGTTTCTACCGTTGATTATTATGGGCAACAATTTATTCTGTAGATTTTTATTTTCCGTTCTCATCAATTGATCCAACATGTCGCATCCCGTTCCCGCCGGAATGACGAGACCTCTCATCGATCGTTTGACGAAGTTGAAGCCGAACAGGCCTTGATGAATCAGAAACTTGACGCGCAAGGCATCTAACTGGCGAAGATCGCAGCCTCCCTGGCTGCGCTCACGAAGGCGCTCGCACCGCTGGAGATGAAAAACCCCTTTTCGGCCGCATCCCCTTGCGTCGCAGCATCGGCGCACACTTGCGATGGTGGTTTGCGCAGTACCGCACTCGTCTTGCTGCCCTCGTTCGATGCATAGACCCTATCGGTTGGGTGGCTAGGGTTGAACAGCAGTTTGAACTAAATGGGACCCCACCGAAAGAAAAGTGGCAGCAGTTGTGGTTGTCATGGAAGGGGCTGCTCTACATTGGATTGCCCTATATATTGGGTGACCTGGTTGAAAGCACGGAAAAGGGGCATGGCCTGGGATGAATTCACACAAGCACTGGTGGCTCACTTCGACTCCCGGTTCAAGAGCAGCCAGTTTGAATGGCTGCCCAGGGTCAGACAGATGGGTACAGTGGAGGAAAACAATGCTCTATTCATTCAATTGGCCAGTCAGGTTCCCGGGCTGTCTAAGGATTATTATCTCGGGTATTTCCTAAATTGGCTGAAAGGGGCGATTCGGGGGATCTTTACGATTGCTGGGGCCAAACAATCTGGAGATAGCAATGAAATTGACCAGAAATATTGAAGACAACCTGTCCTTTAAGAATGGAGGTCAGGGGAGCCAATCCTACAATACGGAATCGCGTTCAGGCAGTTTTTCGCGACCAAGTAGGGGACTAGGGGTAACAGCATGACCATGAGTGGTGGCAGCATAAGGGGACCGAGTGACAGCTTTCCTAAAGATACTGGGCAGCCCCCGAGGACAAATGTGAGCCGGTTTCCGGATTTCAACCTTGAAGACAAGGTTGTTTCCAAAGGGGTGGAATTGATGTAAAGCAGAATCTGGGCTTGGAGAAAGGGGCAAAGGCTTCCATGGGTTTACTGAAGGCGGAGACGGGCTTGAGCCCACCTTTGTGGGCTGGTTGCGGGCCGTTTAATTAATTTTTTTTCTCTATAATTTTCCTGGTGTGTTTCCTATTTGGAGTTAATTAGAATTTCTATTATTTGTTTCCTATTTGGAGTTAATTAGGATTTCTATTATTTGTTTCTTATATGAAGTTAATTAGGATCTCTAGTATTCTATTTCCTATTTGGAGTTGATTAGGATTTCTATGATTTTGTTTTCTAGTTTGGGAATTAGCAAATAGGAATTTAAACTCCATGTTAGGATTCATTCTTGTTTATCTATTAATAAAATTAGATTTCATCCTTTTGACTCTGGGCAACGGCTTCTACCGTTGATTATTCTGGGCAACGGTTTATTCTGTTGATTTTTACTTTCCGTTCTTATCAGACATGGAGCGGAGCTTCGAAGCACACTAACCATCTAATATCATATTATATTGTTTTGTGATAACAAGTCAAGAGTCCAACTATTGAATAACATCAACCTTCTTTCCATCTCATAAATAAAGAACAAGATTGAAAGTAAATCATTATAGTATGTTTTGTTTTTATATTGATAGAGCATAGCTACCATATACGAAGTATGTATTATTCTAGAGAGAGGTAAGAGCTAGAGAGAGGACTGAATGTGTATATTATGAATCACCCTTCCTTTACATAGCTCCCCAAGAGGAGTATTTATAAAGAAAAATGTGGGCTCGACTACTATGTTGGGTCTGGCAGGCCTAATTATATAAAACGACTAATAAATGGTATAAAAACTATTCTAAAGAGTACCAATGATTATCTAAGGTGTATAGTAATATAAATGCTATCTAGTCGACATATGTGGGCTGTTGTAGAAGCCTAGTATCCACAAGTCTAATGCTATTGTTTTGGTTAACATTAATTTGTCGTGTGACACTTTAATTTGACAATTAGAACATGGTCACTCAAATCCATTAGACAACCCTCATTAAAGCAAGAACTAGTTTTGGCATAAATAGTGTAGGTGATGTGAGGAAGTGATCCAGCTCAACTGGTCACCGACTCACTCTCCCTTATGAGAGGTCCCGATTTCAATACTCCATGGAGAAGTTTGAACTCAGTTTACCCCAGACCCCCCCCCCCCCCGACCCCAGGGTAAAAAAAAAGAGTAGGTGATGTTAAGTCACTAAAAATATCTGATCATCACAATTTTGAATATATTATACTACCCTTGTCCTTGAAAATAAAGGTTAATGTTTCACTAAGGTACAGGTTTTCTTATTTTGTAAGGTGACTCACCCAAATCATCAATTCTAGCTAAAAAAAATAATTTTGTTTATAACTAAACTAAAAAGAAGAGAATTATTTACTTATATAACACACATTAAATATAATGGAAATTAGAATCTTTTTTCAAATAGATCTCTTTAATAGGACACAAGTATGTTTAAAAAGATGGAACTTTTTTTTATTCTGAGGGGGGGAACATTCTCCACATATAGCAAAGTATGCTTGCTATTACAACTTTTGAGTCCCCAAATATAAATCTAGTTTTATAGCTATTACTACTTCGGTTCTTCCAACCCAAAATTGCCTTCCCGCCTTGACTTAGCATGTTTATTAAGAATAGTAAATTAAATTGTATGGTTGTGGTTTATTCAGAATAAACGGAAACACTACCAGCAACACAAACCTTCCCTTGAAAGAAAAGGGAAGAAATCTTTGGGACGGCCCGAAAAGGAAAAGAAAATGGAAGAAAAAATTTGGGATAGAGCAAGCAGGATTTAACAAGATGCCAAAACTATGTAACAGCTCTCACATGGCTGAAAAGCAGTAAGCCATTATTCAATTTTACCGCTAACGTTATATAAAGTAGTTCAGGTTAGCACATACCTTGTGGATATTTATAGGTAATTCCCTCTTCTCAGTTGCTTTAGGTGTCCATAATTTAATGTCAGACTCCATACCACTGCTGGCAAGAACAGCGGTGTGAGGATGAGATTCAATGCAATTGACAACATGTCTGTCTCCTTCCATAACATTGACAAGCTTCCCGCCCTTTTTCTTCCATATGAAAATCCGACCACAGTCTGACCCACTCACAACATATTCACATTTAGGTCCAAAGAAACCAACACCCTTCACGGTTTCAGAGTTTTGATGTCCCTTGTAGGCTTGCGGCTCATCCTCTACACTAGCATCACTTTGATTGGACGGTGTGGAAATGAGAGGCAGGTCAGGTCCAAGACCCATACTTTTTGAGAAAAGATAGATGCACTCATCAGCATAGGAAACGAGAAGCTCACTCTGGTCTGAAAAAGCCAAGTCAGTTATGCCCACACCATGATCTCCAACTAAATGGGAAGGACAAAAGAAGTCAACAGGTTGACCAAAAATATCTGAACTGCCAAACTTAAAGTTGCGGAGATCAAAAAGCCTAGCATATTCATCTGACCCAGCAACCGCAAAAAGGTTTGAGTTTCTGGGATCTATTGCAATTGCATTCAGATAAACAACAGAATTAAAACTTCTGTAGTTGAGAGCTTCACATGTAAAGAGTATTACGGCAGCTCCTGTTCTCAGATCAATCTGTGATTACATCATACATGGGGAGTAATAAGACAGTTGCGACCACAAATCAGCAATAGGAAAATATAAGAAATAAGAACACTTCAAAGATGAATATGTTCAAGGAGAGGTAGTAGTGTAGTACTAGCTTACACGTTGAACAAGTCCATCTCCGCCGCAGCTGTAGAAAATGTGAGGACTTCCTGGTTCAATTGCCAACTTATGAGTTGGTCCTGAATGTCTTGCAAGCAATTTTGTCTCCACTTCCCCATGTGGTAGAATATGAGTGCATCTTATCTGAAAGAAGTTAGATGTCATAACGAAAGAATGACACTATTTCCCTTTCAGGCTCTCAGCACATAGTAACGTGATAGACACCCGAGTGAAGCTGCTAGTACTAATAATGATAATAAGGAAGGTCTATAGTAGGAGAAAGAAGTATAACAATTAGTTAGTTGCTGAGGTGTAATTTCTGTTTGTATTCTGAATAGAATAAATAGCTGGGAAAGGGGAGTTCGTAAGGAGGCTGTTAGACTGTTTAGTCTGGACTGGGAAGAATTGAGATATCATTTCTCTTTCTTTGGGCTTCGGTTGTACCTATACTCTCCATTAATGAAAGCTTGAATTGTTTCTTGAATTCTCTTTCATATTTTCTGTAAATTCTACATACCTGTAATAGCTCTATCAGTGGTATCAGAGCACGTCGATCACTGTGGATGATCTTTACGCGTGCAAAAATGGAAGGAAGAATTAAAGAACTGGAAAGGAAGCAACAAGAAACAGCGGCAACAACTGCGGCGACCTTGGCAGTGATACAAGCAAGCATTGCAAACCTGGAGAAAAGGATCCAGAGTCGTTCGTGAAGCAGATCACATGCATCTTACGCATCGCATCGCAAATCGCTCACCAGTTCGCAGAAGGAGTCACGAACTGTTTCTTCTAGTTCGCAGTCGCCAAAGGCTTATCTTAGTTCGCAATCGCTGACTTCTTCTCACCGTTTGCAGTTGAGAACAGAGTCTATCCATTCGCAGACTTACTCACCGGCTATCAATTCGCATCCAAGAAAGATGCGATTGAGAGGAGAATCTTCATCTTCATCGCCAAAAGATTCTCACTGTTCGCCTTCTTCATCTCAAGTCGCTCATCTGAGTCCGCAAACAACTTCTTCCGGTCCTCTGGCTTCTACGCGAGCAGAAGACCCCAGTTCGCAATCTCCATCCGAGTCCCCAGATTCACAGCAGGAGTTGATTAATCAACAGCAACCATCCACGGAAGATACACACAGCTATGGCGACATGGAACACAAGGATAAATCGTCGGTTAACCTTGAACTTGAAGCTGGTGCAGTTGCTGGATTCACCAGGCATAAGATTTTTCCGAACAGTCAGACCTTGAAAACCATAAGTTTAAGCTTCTTTAGGAAATCGGAAAAAGTCAGGTTATACACTCGCCAGATTATTATTCTTCTAACCTTACAGCCGATGTGGATTTAATGCCCAGCCGAGTGTCTGTGATTGGGTTGCTTCTCCAACCATGTTCATTTGGAAGTAGGGTCCTAATTGCTTCTGGAACTAGATTACTTAAAATCAAGAACATTGCAGATGATAAAGTTGTTCTTGTCAAAAGTCAACAAACTCTACAACCAAAGGAAATGTTTTCAGAAAATTCATACACTGGTAAAAAGAGATCTGGTACAGAGGCTCAGGAGGAGCATGTTGATCTTTTTTTAGGAGAATCTGCTATCATTTTTGGAAACCGCAAACCGATTCAGGATGCTGACAAATCTAGTCATTCCCAGCATCTTGGCAGAAATTCACTGCAACTTGCAACCTTAAGTGTTAAAAGTTTATCAGGTTCTTTACCTGCTGAGGTGTTAAAGTTTGTGCAAGAAAAGAGGGTAAAGTCTTCCGGCTATGATACAATATTGGATCACATAACTGAGGAGTCACTTATACCAGTTGCAGAAGTACAAGAAGCAGAATTGCAGCCATTTGTTGAGAGCATGATAAGCTGCCCCAAGCTTGGCCTACATAATCCATTGAAAGCACCAGAAATATATCTAAAATTGGGAGACATCTCTGCAAAGACAACTCATAGCCTATCACTTCCTTATGTTTTTGACATCTTCACAAGGTTATTACAGTGGATGGCTCCCAACTAATAGCGAAATTGCTGTTACATCAAAATTTTAAAAAAAAAAATCTATGGTGATCCGGTCCATTTTCTGGCAAGGTCTTTTGGAGTGCCAGGAAATTATCTGGGACAGAACAGCCCTGGCTTTCGTTGGACTTATGACCCTTTGGTAATTCTTACTTCCTTTGATTTTGCATTGGAGCTTTCTGAATTTCAGCTAATGGGTGCATTATACAAAGGAAATAAGCCTAGTCTTAAAGTTGACAGCAGGGTGTGCAGTATAATGGAACAAACGCTACTTCGGGTTCATGATTGGGGAATACAATTGGAGATTGTTGAATTCTTAAATTCAAAAACAAAAACACAGTATGACTCAAGTTCTCTTAAACTTTCTTTTGACATGTGTGTGGATGAAGTTCTGCATGAGCTATTCAGTGAGAAGTTTCACTCATGAGAAAGGATGAAGTCTGAGGGACACACTATGCTGAGGCTGGTCAAGAGTGGTAGATTCTGGACAGATCTGTAACAATTTCTCTAACTAATGAACTAAGAACAGATCGATCAATTGTTTATTGCGGTAAGAAAAGCTCACGTAGGAATACAAGTGATGGGACTGTTTGAGAAGCCCACTCTCCTAAACCAAAATGCCAATTCAATAACTGCCTACCTTATTTAGCTACTCTCACATCTATTTATAGTTAGTACTCCCGTAGGGATAGACTACTAATATAGCCCATAACCCTTTCCCTGCTATTAATATTTCAGGCCCACTTATTGTTATCTATAATAATAGGCCCACTAAATATCTATTCCTATCAATACTCCCCCCCTAAACAACCACCTTGTCCTCAAGGTGGGTGATAGGAAACAGCCATGATCTTCCACTTCCACTTCATTCTTGCACCTCTCCCCTCCCAGTATTTGACTGATTGCTGGACTAGGAACTTCAGTACCAAATCTTTTGATATCACAAACATTTCAGCCGCAGAAGAGATATCTAATGAAGTTCCGTACGCTTCAGCAAGTATTCCAATATTGGCAATCTTCAGCAAGTTCTGCCAATGAGCTCCATCCGAGGCATCCTTTGCATAAAGGATATAAAGGTTGACTGCATTCTTTTGCTCTTGTATATGAGCTTTTTCTTCAGCCTCTTTTGAGTTATGGAATGATTGAATAGAAAACTGCACATCAACACGAACATAGCTTATTCTTTTCTCAGAACAAACTGCTGCACTTCATCAAGAATCTTAGGATAGACTATGATTTCTACCACTTCTTCACAGCTCCCTAGTGCAGTCTCATCCTCTAACTGCTTTTCAGATTTCAGGTTACTGAGATATATTTCCCATCCACCATCTCTTGTACTCAGAAGTAATATCATATAAGGGCTATTCACATCAATGAACTCTTGAATCCGCCTCTTCCTTTCATCCCATTTGACATGGCTATCAATGTCAAGTCTGAATTCCGTACTTCCTCTCCTATTCATGCCAGAACTACTTTGAGTTCTGTCCACCGGAAGCTCAGTAGTGACCGGACCTCCCATATTACCTATATGGGTCTCATAAACAAGCAATTTTGTTATCAGCAATTTTGAGTCAGAAACCACTGGGCTCTCCAATTCAGAGCCAGCAATTTTTTTATCAGCAGACTCATATTCCAGGGCACTCGAGAAATGATTCACCACAGCAGATTTCTCCTCTGGTCTTTCATCGTCATCGGTGAAGGTATCCTCAGAGAGAGGTTTCCGTGGATTGCCAGACTCCTGTGACTCAGACAGCAATGGCGAACTGGAAGCTCCTCCTGATCGCGTTGCACCTTGAATTGAACTGCTCGCGTATGATGAAGTCTGCGAACCTGGAAACACTGCTTGTGGAGAAGATTGCAAAGATTCAGTCTGCGAACTTATGAGCGACTGCGAATTGATGTTTTTTTCTTGCGATACAGCTTGAGAACTGGGAGAAGAGACTAGAGATGAAGTTAGGCGAGGATAAACAGTTCGCGAGGGAGATTTAGAACTGGAAGCCGATAATGAAGCCTGCGAACTGAGAGATGTTGTTGGCGACAATGACGGCCACTGTTTTTCAGATGACCTAAGAGGTTGATGACCGATCTTGTTTATTCTACTCCACCTCTCCGTAGCCCAATCTTCAAAGGGTTGTTGATTTTGTTCAACCTTTTCCAGGTTATTTTCCATGTGCGATTGTGAACTGGGACCTTCTACTTGCGACACGTTCTGCGAACGCATGAGGGAGTCTATTGTCGATGACGAGTGTTGAGTTTCCGCGAGCGAAGATGTATGCGAACTGACAGAATAGTCCAGCGATGAAACCTGAGAACTGAAAGGAGTTTCTCGCGATTTAGAAAAAACCCGCACAGTTCGTGACAATCTGGGAGAAATAGCTGGCATCTGCGAACTGAAGGACGTTGTTGTCGACCGCAATCGCGACCTCTCTGGATCGAAGCTGTTCATTCATGGCGGCCATGGATGCCGCTAAGTTTGCCGCCAAATTTTCCATTGCAGTACGCCGATCATCCACCGATGATCGTAACATCTCTTGTACCTCGGACAGATTCCCCTTTATCTCTGCCAAATTCCGTTCCAGAGTATCCATGCGAAACTCCATTTTCTCTCTTGTTCTTACCATCCACCACAGAACGTAAGTGTTGCTGAGGTCGCCAATCAATTCCGATCACCAGGGGCTAGTGCTCTGATACCAATGTTAGATTCTGGACAGATCTGTAACAATTTCTCTAACTAATGAACTAAGAACAGATCGATCAATTGTTTATTGCGGTAAGAAAAGCTCATGTAGGAATACAAGTGATGGGACTGTTCGAGAAGCCCACTCTCCTAAACCAAAATGCCAATTCAATAACTGCCTACCTTATTTAGCTACTCCCACATCTATTTATAGTTAATACTCCCGTAGGGATAGACTACTAATATAGCCCATAACCCTTTCCCTGCTATTAATATTTCAGGCCCACTTATTGTTATCTAAAATAATAGGCCCACTAAATATCTATTCCTATCAAAGAGTTTTTCATCTAAAGGACTAGAAGTATGGGAACTTCTGATACCACCATCAGTGAGGTACTGGGAAGGGAGCTGAATCCCAGGCCTGGTTCCTATCTTCCCACCTTGAGGACAAGGTGGATTCTCAGGAGGGGAGTATTGATAGACACCGAGTCAAGCTACTAGAGTAGTACTAATAATGATAATAAGCATTACAGGAAGGTCTATAGTAGGAGAAAGAAGTATAACAATTAGTTAGTTGCTGAGGTGTAATTTCTGTTTGTCTTCTGAATAGAATAAATAGCTGGGAAAGGGGAGTTAGTAAGGAGGCTGTTAGACAGTTTAGTCTGGACTGGGAAGAATTGAGATATCATTTTTTTTCTTTGGGCTTTGGTTGTACCTATACTCTCCATTAATGAAAGCTTGAATTGTTTCTTGAATTCTCTTTCATATTTTCTGTAAATTCTACATACCTGTGATAGCTCTAACATAACGATCACGCATTGTCGCTAAATAAATCCCACTGTCATACATAAGAGCATGCAATTATAAGAGCAGATTCTAGAAGATGTCTAAGTATCCTCAAGACTCAGGTCAGTTGCAATGAGCACATATTATTACACTCCATAGTCTATAAAACCCAGAAGCTATATGTGTGGATCTCGGAAATTTGTAGGGGAAGAAAAAAATCCAAACAATAAGGTCCTCTGTGTATAGTTTTACATTGGAAAATACCAAAGAAAATCATATTTTGATTAACTTTTTTAAAATTTTACCAGTGCTTGTACATGTTTTTTCACCCACCCACCCAAAAAAACCTTCCAAAGAATAACTCTTCTTCTAACTTACTTCCCTTAGCATTTTATGGGATTCAAATGGACCCTAAGAAAAATAAAATGTGAAAAATAATAGTGGAGTATGTATAGCACATCCACCAAGAGACTCACATTCAACATTGCAACCAATTGAGGTAAAGTAACATGTAAAACATGGGAAAATACAAGCAAGTATCGCGATCCTTGGTAGATACCCGTCCATCAGCAGCAGAGGTAACGATACATTGATCATCAGTGTATGGCATGAACTTGGCCTGAAAGACATTATTATGATGTCCGGAATGGAATGAGAGTTTAACATTCCCAGTTTGCCAGTCCCAAAGTATAATCCTGGTATCATCAGAGCCTGATACAAGGACGTCACCATCATGATTGAAGCTGATTGTATTGACACAACCTCTGTGCTTTTTTAGCTTCCGAAATATCTCAAAGCGCGTTACAAGGTCCTGCCCACCAATACAGAGAAACAAAGAAAGAAAGAAGAATCACCATTGCAAATCAATATTTCATCTGTTGGTGAGATGCCAATTAAAATAAAACCGTGGCCAAATACCAAAAAAGATCTAAAATATTGAGTTGTTATGTAACTTATATTTTCCCATACATTTTCTTTCTTTCCAATCATTCTCTATGTTTTCCTTTCCTTTTCTTTCACTTGTGTTTGACAGATCCAAACCAACCTTAAGAAAATGCCACAGCATTATGTACTTTCTCTAGGGTTTGTGTTCATAGCCTCTCAACTATCTAAGTCATTGTTGAGCACTTTGAGTCCTCCTCATGTTTGAGATTACTCCGTTATGACTCCAACCATTATTCAATATGTATGTGCACATTTTGATAAATCTTCATTACCACCATTCCATAAACCACCATTTTGATAAATATTCAAAGTACGCAGCTGGGCTCCATTGACATTGCTTCCCCAACTTAAATGCACACATATGAATAATTTACTGATGCCAGAAAACGGCTTTCGAGTGAAATTCACACTCCCTCCTTGACTCCGTTCTACTCAACTTTGTCATTTTACTATTCATCTAATCAAATGAGTTTACTTTTGTTCTCTTATTTACAACATCAAATTTTTATCAAATTTGAATTCAGATTTTGAGGCCTCAATAGAACTTTTAGTCTACTTTCTAAATATCTAAACTTCAAAAATTAATGGTAATTTAAATACAAGGAGGAACTATCATCAATAATCATCTAAAAATATAAATGGACAAGTTGAGAACCGCGGAGCCGCAGAGGAATAGTAAAAGTGAAAAAGACAAAAAGTATGTTTAAGAGTACCTATCGAATGAATTCAAAAAAAAAAACACTGTAATGAGCAACAAAGAATAGAGGATGACATGCGGAAGACGTTAGTTGAAACCGGAAACGAGAAAGGGAAAACCTCGGGGGCGGAGAGACGGAGGGCGAAGTTTCTGGTAGAGAGTTGGCCGACCTCTCGTTTCCACACATCGACTATCGCGGTGTCCAGGCCAGTGGCTGCCCTGTTGCTCATGGTTGGGCGATTTGAGAATTACGAGGATGAACACGAGCTAGTGTCTCACTCAATTTTCTTGATTTTACTAGCTAGAGTATGTTGCTTTGGATTAAAAGTTGCTGGTTAGCTTTTTCACATTTTAAACAAGTACCATTTTTTTTTAATAAAAAAACACTTTCAAAATGAAAAATAATGCTAGTTCATTTAAAAAGGAAATTAGAAATTAGTTCAAATAGGACTAAAACAATAGCAAAAACCTAAAATAGGACTTGCTATGTTTTTATTCCAAAATAGGACCATCTGAGTCCTATTGGAAACATACCTATTTTTGCATTCCATTCTTACCCTTCCATTAAATATGAATTAAAAATAATCAAAAGTCATAATTAAATGTTTAATTCATAATAAATTCGAAAAAAAATCAAAAATTCGTAGAAATATAATTAAAAAAATTATAAAATTTTTATAAAATAAAAAATTCAAAAACTTTTTTTTAAAATAATTTTATTTTTGAAAAAAATAATAAAAAATAGTAAAACTCCGTAAAAAAAAATTAAATAAAATATGGATGTCTTTCCCACCGCCTGTACTACCTCCCAGCACCACCACCTCCGGCCGATGGAAAAATGTCATTTTCCCAGAAAAATGACATTTTTTTCTGAAAATGCCAAAAAAGTGTCATATTTCTCTTTTCGAATGCCAACATTTTCATTTTTTTCTGCCATAAATATGGCATTCGTAATGAACTTGGCATTTTTTTTCCCTGATGACTGGAGGTGGTGGTGCTGAGGCGGCAGAGGCGGCGGCGATTTTTTTTTTTTTGGTTTTATTTTTTTTTTTAAATTTTTTTAATTTTTTGAAAAAAAGAATAATTAAATTTTTAATATCGAAATGTTTTTCTTAATTTTTTAGTATTTTTTACGAATTTTTATTATTTTTTATTGTTTTATTAGGAATTAAAACATTTTAATAGCTATAAGGGTATAATTGTCCAAGGTACACATAATTAGTCCTATGCAAACATAGTTCATTTTTTGGTCCTATTTGTGAAAAGTGAATGACTTTTAGTCCTATTTTGATAATTAACTCAAAGGAAATAAACTTCTACTTCTCGTATAAAACATATTTATTCCCGTATTTTACAAAAAATAGAAATATGAACAATTGAATGGATGCATTAGAAATGAAAACGTAGAAATGAAAACGTCCTCCTCGTGATCCCATGTTTTTGTATTTTTACAATACAATTATTGATTACTAAAATTAATTGCATGACGGTTAAAGCTAACATCCTAAATGACTAAAACTTAAAATACTACTCCCTCCGTCCCTAATAGTTCTTGCATAGTACACATGACACACAAATTAAGAAGGTGGATATTGTGTGGTGGAGAGTTGTGGAGCGGATAGAGAAATGTGTAAGCAATGCTGTGAAGCATTAATTCTTTACCAAAAAAGAAAATGGAAGTTCTTTTGGGCCGAATGAATACAGAAAGTTGAAAGTTCTTTCAGGGACGGAGGGGGGTACTAGATTTTTTATGTTTTTTCAAACAAGCATATCAAAATTAAGGTTTTTCTAAACCTCACATTTCTTAGTATAAAATTTTACACAAACAATAATAAGTGTAGCAGTCGCACAACTTTTCTCATATGTCATCCATCATCTTGATGAAAATTATGAGTTTAACTTGAGTGTTATTTGATAATAATAGAAATATAATGATTTTAACTTAGCGGGTGTATTGTATTAGGAATTAGTGGCAAAATTTTAAAAGTTAATGGGTTTTAAAAGTTTAGGTGTATTCAATGTGGACTTTTAAAACTCTACAAAAATCTAGGTGTATTCAATGTAGACTTTTAAAAGTCTATAAAAGTCTAGGCGTATTCAAAGTTTCGTTCATTCTTATGTATTTCTAAAATCATGGATTCTCGTGGACTTTTAACTCCTTTTTAGTACATTAATTCTCTTCGATTGTCTCTTCTCCTCACTAAAGATTTCTGTGGACTTTTCTTATATCGTTTCTTCATCTCGTCCCCCCACCCCACCCCGCCAACTCTCTCCTTCTTTAGCCAAGTCACCCCTTCCCCTTCGATCTTTCTTCTTCTTCAGTCTAGCTCGCTCCACCCCTCTCCTTCCATTCTTTTTCTTCTTCAGCTTGCCCCACCCCCCTCGATTCGTTAATCTCATACTAGTTTAATTCTAGAAGTTTCTAGAAGAACTGGTATAAGAATCGATAATATTACATCAGTGCAATTCTGGTACGTTGTCATTTAACCATTAAGAAAATAAATATTTTAACTATTACTTTCTTTCATCGTTAAATCGCTAACACATAAAAATATAATTTCAAATTAATAAATATATAACCGTAAATAAGTACACAAAATTTTACAAGATAGAAATGAAAAGAAAACAATTATTAAGAAGATAAACTCGATTGCAACCCCCCTTAGGCTCATTCTATTGTTATTATGCCTTATTTTTTGACATCATTTTGAAAAATTATGTTTTGGACTTACTTACATCAGTTGTGGTTGATCGCCGCCTCCTTGTCCTTGAGGCTCTCTGGTAGAATTACGAATTGTTTTTTATGTAGTAATAGAATTTGCCACTTGAATTTGTGTATACTTTTATTTCCTTTTACTATATATGTTATTTTGTATAAAATATATAATTTAAATATTCAAAATAATGCCTCATATTTTTTGTCCGAATTTTTGTAATCGATAATGTATTATACACGTATACATATTTACACGTTTTATAAAAGTCAACGTTTTTTTCACTGATTTTTTACCGTTATTTTCATTTATGTTACCGAATAAAACGCAAACGTATTAAACCTTGTTTAATTCCCGCACCGTATTTAACTAACTAGGGTACAAATAGAATCAAAAAATTAAACTATACGTAGTATTTCATATGATTAATTAAATGGTGTTTTGGACAAATCTATTTTAATATTTATAGTTATTGAAATGTTTTAATTCACAATAAAATTGTAAAAATAACAAAATATCACAAAAAAAAATAGCAAAAATAATTCAAAAATAACAATTTAAAGAAAAACATCGCCACCTTTGCCGCCCCAGCACCACCACCTCCGGTCACCGGGGGGAAACGCCACATGCATTAGGAATGTCATATTTTTGGCGGATTCAATGAAAATTTTGACATTTTAAAAGAGTAATATGCCATTTTTTGGCATTTTCAGAAGAAAAAAAATGACATTTTTTAGATTAAATGACAATTTTTAGAAAAAAATGCATTTTTACACTAGTCGGAGGTGGTGCAGGGAGACAATACAAGCGGTGGGGAATGCATACATATTTTTTTAAGGATTTCTACTATTTTTTATTAATTTTAAAAAAATATTTTATAAATATTTATTAATTTTTTTATTATTTTTCTATGATTTTTATTTTTATGACTTTATTATGAATTAAAATATTTAATTATGATTTTTGCCTACTTTTTGCTCATATTTAAAGGGGAGTTAAGAATGGAACGAAAAAATAGGTATGTTTCCAAATAGGAGTAATATGGTCCTATTTTGGAATAAAAATAAGAAGTCCTATAACATTGAAATAATTATGTACATATGTGTGTGACTAAGATAAATATTATTTACAAAAATGTGATCATTTATATATAGCGATTTTTTTTTGAATGTTATAGCGAATATTTTAACCTATCTTATAAAGGCCAGTTTTAGTATTAAATGCTCATGGTTTGTCATGGTTAGGCTTTAAAGTGTAGTAATGTGTGCTATCATATTGTCCCGTATGAACTATTTTTCAAATTACCGACCTCACCATCCAATTTTACCGTTAAAAGTGTTAAATTCATTTGGCGATGGTTACTTGTGTTTAAGGATACTTACTCCACATACGATATGAAATCGGTATATCCGCTATGTGTTATCATTTTTGTATCGACTCTTTAGTTTCAACAACTTTTAATTTTTCAGCGTATAACTCTCGTGTCGAGTTGTTTTCTTGGTTTGAGTCCATTTTTTATTTCCCAACCAAAACATCACATGATACCCACATCTCTTTTCAACAATGGACAAGATGTACCGTCTCTTATCAATTTAATTTTATATTCATATTTTAACTTTTCACCTATTCAAATACATAATGGGATTTAAAGTTCCCTTATCCCCTTCTCACGATCATGATCATCAATATCTAAGTTGTGCTATTCTCTTCCCAATTGTTAAATGAGTTCACGTTGCATTTTAACTATTTTTTGCTTAAAGGCTATTTCCTATTTTTTAAAAAAATTGTAATGCTTGTGTTCTACAAATGTTATCTCGATTATTGATAGATGATCTGAAATTGACTAGCTAATGCAATAATCCGAAGCTCATTAATGTGATCTCGAGTATGATTAAATGATCTGAACAAGCTCATATGAAAAGAAATGAAATGCACCATAGGTGTTTGATAATATGTGAAGCTTATTTCATTGTACTTACTCTCACATGCTAACACACATATGAGTTTTTTCCTTACATATTGATTTCCACTTAGTCTTAGAATTGTCCCCATTATTTCATTCAAAAAAGAAAGAATTGTCCCCATTATTTTTGAACTTAACTTAGTGTCATTTCAAACAACTAAGAAACAACACAAATCTTTTTTAAATATGGTTCGTTTGTGTGTTAGTTCATTGTAAGTGCGCCATCTAAATTCAAAAGCAAACATCTCATTAAAATGTTTATGCATATAGAAATGAAATGATACTAATCTTCTCTGATCTGTAGAGTGTAAGTGGGTTGAATAAAAATAGCTTAAAAAATAGAATTAGTGAACTTGTGTGGAATATGTTATTTTTGTGCACTCGTTTCTTTTGACTTTGCACTTTCCTATTTTTTCTCCGACATTTCATGTTTAGTTTTTTGAGTGTAGTGCCCCCCCCCCCCCCCCCCCCCCCCCGATATATTATTTATTCTACCTAATACGTTTTATTGCATGATGACTACCTTGAGTTTGTCATACATTATTACTATGGGAAAAAATAGTTTACATCTCGAGTAGCCGCTTATTTAGGTATTATTATCAATTCGAGAAGTTAGTGATTGACAGTTTTGTTTTAATTAAAATGTT